GAGAGCAAAGAGGCAGCAGAAAACAAAATAAGTTTGGCAAACTAACTTTGTGCAAACATGTTCAGTCCAGCCTGCATTCTAATTCTACCACTTCGGACTGCAATGCTGAGCACGTGCTCCAAGCAGATGAGACACGGCCACAACTACCAAACTCAACTTCCCTGAAGTCAACAGGGTTTCTGCATTTTCAGGGGAGAAAAAAAACCCATAATTGTCTTGAATCATCAATAGTATAATTTTTCCATGTTACGTCCTTTCCTCTTGAGTTAGAACTTGGAGTAGAAGTGATCGAACCAACCTGAAAAGCTGCTTTCATTGCCGTAAGTCTGTCTCCCATTGCCCCAGTGGATGGCTTGTATGCCTCATAGTTACTCATCACGCTGTTGTTGTTTCCACGGTCCTGTACAAAAAGACAAAGGACAACTGGAGAGATTTATCCAACACAGACACTTTTCAATTCAACCATTCTCCGAACCTATCTTGACCCTGCACTCAGGAAATACATCTACTGTGGATGACAAACTTCGGGAGAGCACTGAGCGGCAGAACAGTTTGCCCCATGACCTTGAGGATGACAGAAAAGTAAAGATGCATTAAGTCTTAGTGACTCACTAGTCAACAGTGTAACCGCAGTGCCCAGCTCCTTACAGTACAAGCAAAAGCAAAATGCAGTCAAATGGAGATTTTCACAGAGGTCATAGCCAAGACAAAGTGTGAACAAGGCTTCAGCTGTGACTTTTGGAAAGATGCTGAACACGATGTGTTTTCAACGTGTCTACAGCTAAACTCTGTCCCCACACACATTGGCAGTGAGCTGTTTTCCTAGCATGGACATTGCCAAGAATCAGCCTAGAAATGGCTTCTCAAGTAATTTATTAGCACTTATTTTGCATTGACAGTCTATTTTGGGAAGAATCTCCAAACCTTCTGGATCACTCTGGCCCTAAAGAGGGCAGCTCTTGACAAGAGGGTAACAGCACAGGACAGTTTCACTTGAGATATTTCTGACACTAATTCTGAAAGATTCTGAGCTATGAAAACCTTCGAAAGCAGAGGCTATTCTCCAGCACTGAGAAGATTTTTTTGAACTAAAGAGTAGTCAATACTAAGTTTAAAAGTTCCAAGAATCCGTAAACAACAACTACTTACAGAATTTTCTGATCCCAGACCAGGACGTTCACGGTATCCTAAGCCACCACCACCAATATTCAGCTTCTTGCCTTTTCCTCCTTTGAAACGTGACTTCCGGAACCATGGATTCTGTACAAAAGAAGGACAAATGCTTCTCACCACAGGGAATAAGAAGCTTCATAAATGCATGTAATGAGGCTCAGAAAAGAGGGATTTTGAGCATTTCAAAAGAAAAATATAAATACACTGTTTCCCATTCAACAATACAGCTGTTGCAAGGGGATGGGATGTGACAGGCTACAGCGCTTTGAAACCAAGCTGTAGACAGTTCTGTCATGTGGGTCTGAAGCTTTTTGTTACAAATGCTTTTTATGAAAACTAATTTTCTGTCCTGAAGTTTCATCCATGTTAAAGTTTTGGGGGGTTGCATTCTAATAAACCCAGGAATAAATGCAATCTCTAATGCCATTCACTTGGGAGCTCTGCACTTGCTCATACTTGGGTTTTACTGACTTAGCCCACTGCCCGGCTAAGGAGAAATGAGGTTCTGCCACAGCAAAACTTCCTGCAACAAGCAGTGGCCAGGAAAGCGCAGTCCAACCAGACCTCCTCTTGTTACCAGGTTTTTAAATAATGGTTGGCTGCACCTCTTTTTATGCCCTATAGTTTCTTCAAACCTGAAGAAGCCAGTAAGCCAAGCCATTTAGCTTCTATACTCTCCTCTCAAAGGCAGCCTGTGGAGCTTGGCCTCACGAATTCTGTCCCTTCTGAAAATGCTGCCTCTGTACCTTGGAAAAAATACTTACTTCTAGCAGCTAGCGCCCAAGCTGATTGGCAATGAAGCCACAAGCATGCTAATCCATCTCTGAATTTGGGAATTACCAAAAAGCCTTCGCTCTCTTGCAGCTACACGGGCAGCAAAAGACAAGAACTTAAAGAGCTGACAAGTACAGTGGCCCAAGTACAATTGCTTCAGCTATCCATCATACCTATATATAGCAAGCCTGCCAGACAGCACTGCCAAGCAGGTATAATGATCAAGCAACAACCGTTTCACAGAGTAAATGTCCCTGTAATTATTTTCTAGTTTAGCTTTCAACTAAGCTGCATTTCCCAGGTGCCTGCCACGAATGCATATCGAAAATCTGATTGTAATGAGATACTGGAGCTGGAGTGCACTGCTGGCATCAGCCAAATTACAGCTCCTAATTTCCTAGGCAGTGCCTGACCCCAAAACAGATTACACACTGCATTCCAAGATCTTTATGTCTTTATGGATTCTTTCACAGGCCATTAGAAACACTAGAAAGCCTGCTTAAAAACAGTGTATGTTGCCAAAAGGTCACTGCAAACACATGATGGAACCAGAAACAAGTTCCTGAGCTCCTGATTTTGTGCCAATCATGGAAGGAACCTTCCTCTACTCAAGGAGTTTTGCCTGTTCGTACCTGCATTGCTAGATCCAACAGCTCTTTGGAAACATGTTGATTAGCGCCTTCCAGATTTCTGACAAGATCACCCGCGAAGTTACTGTCTTTGGGAGTCAGCAGAGTGTAGGCAACTCCCTTCTCGCCTGCTCTGCCAGTACGACCAATTCTATGGGTGTGCGTATCTATGTCCCGAGCCACATCATAATTGATCACAGTCTTAATGGAAGGAATATCTAACCCACGAGCTGTAATAAAGAACAATATAGCGGTAAGCGTGATTATCCTGAATGAACCCAAAGCAATCCCATGCATACCAGCGTATCACTTCATTCTGCTCCAGCATAGGAAAGGAGTTTCCACAGGAACACACCCCAGTTAAGAGGTGTGGCTAAAACTCTTTGTTATCTTAAGTGTAGCACTATCTTCTCCAGGAGTAGTGTAAATTACACCAATCCCCCAAGTTCACAGGATTGGAGATGGAAGAGATCTCTTTAAACGATTGTTATTCCAAGGAAGAGAGAGGGCTTTATTAAAGGACACTGAAATTCACTCTTTGTTCAGCTAAACATCTGGGTACAAAAGCTGTTCTAGAGAAGGCCTCAAGTGTGTCCATTTCCTCTTCATTTAAGCATGCATAATGTGTCAGCTGATTAACGAATAGCAACTACTTCCTCAAGAAACAGCTTGTTTTCTTTCTGTATATGAAAAAATATCTGTCATACTGTAACTTAAACACCATTAGAAGACTTTAAAAATAAAACCCCTTGCTAACACTGTGTACTTCTGAAAAAATGCCTGGAACACAGTGCCCAGCAGGTGCAGAAGCCAGCCTTGTTGCCTTCCACTGACATGTGTTAGCCTTTCTACTGATATCCACAACTTGTATGACCTGCCGTTTCTTAGAATGTCACATACCTGCCACATCAGTAGCTACCAGTATCGGGATCCCCTTTTTCTTGAATTCTGAAATGACTTTATTCCTCTCACTCTGGTCCATGTCACCATGAAGCAGCCCCAGATTATGATCCTCCTGCTTAAGGTTATTGGCCAGCTCTTCTGCATTTGCCTTCTTGGTGACAAACAGGAGAACGCTCCCAGAGGACGTGAACTCCACGAGGTGTCGAGTCAGCCAGTTCCATTTGCTAGGGCCAGAGGGGAAAATCTCCACAATTTGAGTAACATCTTCATTTGCCTAAGGGGAGAAATAAGACATGCAATAACGCAGGATAGAAACGACAGTACGGCAAACACACACAGATGGCAGAATAAAACCAGGAATTTAAACTAAGCATGAGAATAAAAAGCGGAGGAGCGGGGGACCAAAATTCTCCTTTAAAAGAGGTTTCAGCTCTTGTCTAACTGCTGACCACTTCATTTTCACAGTGCAGAAAAGGCAGGGGTTAAACGAGCTACTCTTTGCTAAACCTGAGAGAGGCAAAGTGCAGTCTTTGACATGATGCAGTTTAGCACCCTACTGATCTAAAGATGGGCACTTGCAATTTAGATGCTCTTGCCACAGATGCTATTAAAATCTAAAACAGACTGTGCAAGAGCAGGGTCTGAGATGGAGAGGATGCTCATCAGTAAAAGTTATTCATATGCAGATCAGAGAAAGTACCCCTGTGAGCTGTGACATGTCCTCGGAGTCAGGAAGAGGGGAGGTATAAACAGACTCCCTGTACACTCCGTATTGCAATAAAAGTGCAGTGGAGCACACAGCACTATCTGGAAGTTTCTCTGAAAGATTTAGTTTTTACACATTTAAATATGAATTATTTCAAGGATGATGCTCTCAGAGTAATAATCAAAGAAAAGAACCCATGTGATTGATCTAGGAAAGCTGCTTCTTTCTTAAGCAATGCTTAGGAAAAACATTTTCCCACAAAGAATGGGCTTCAGGTAGCCATTAATTCTTTGTTATAAAGGGACACCTCACATTCCTAATTGAAAAAAATAAAAAATGCAGAGAACTGGTCAAAAGAAGAATGTTCTGAAGGCATCTTGTGAAACTTCTCAACAGTTTCATGTATTGTAAGCACAGTTTCTTCACAGCAAGTGTAATCTGCCCACTTCCTCGACTTATTACCAAGTCTCATTACTAGTCTGCTAATAGTTCAGCTGCTACTGTCAAGCAAGTATAGAAACAACATTCCCACATAAACCAGCTGAAAGACATTACAGTCTAAGTTTCAAATCCTTCATTGCAAAAGCTGTAATTTATTTATAGTTTTGAGACAAAACAAAAGGATATACCCATTGATTCAGCCTAATTTAAAAAAAAATTAAAAAAAAAATCACTGCATTAATGTTGTTTCACTCCTTGATGAAAGCTCCCACTACTACAAGAATATTTGTTGGCAGAAAGAAAACTCAATAAAATTAAAAAACAACCCAAAACCTTACTAGTTTTTGTTAAGCACAAAGTATTTACTCTTAAATACAAATGATGACTACTGCAGTTTAACATAAATTTCAGACAACAGAAACAGAATGGTTCTTTTTTCTCCGACTGTCTCAGAAGTAATGTGGAATTACCTCTCCAATGTCTCCCTGCACAACTCGAATTGGATCAATCAGAATATCTCGAGCCAATTTCTCAATCTTCTTACGGAAAGTGGCACTGAACAAGAGGGCTAAAAGAAAAACAGTATTTGAACTCCCTGAAAAATACATTTTCTTTAACACTGCACAGATCTTGTGAATGAAGACCTGTACAACTGTACTAGGTGTCAGCGATCTGAAGCTACAGTCTGTTTTACTGGTTCTAATGAAAATTATCAATCATGCTATTAGAACACCTCAAAGTGGAAACACATTTCATGGCATCTGAAAGAAGATGTGCATAATAAGTGGCACTGCTGTGAACGTTCTTTCACGGCAGCTGAGAACACAGGATCTCAACACATACTAATATTAATTCAGCTAATCATCTTTTCCCTGAGTAAAGTCTGTGGAGGGATTGCAGTCTGATGAACAAGTATGGGCATTTAACCACACTCACAAGTGCTCCCTCCCAACAGCCCACACTGAGAATTGACACCAGTGGACCCTTGCAAAACTCTCATTGCGTGGCTGCGTCAAGAACAGGAAATCCCAGCTCTGTTCCAGATTCTTAACTGGTAGCCCACCATATAGCCTCCTTCGACTCTCAGGAGTTTAGTTTGAAACATGCTTATACTTACTCTGTCTGTCAGGACGTACGTGGCTAGCAATTGATCTGACCTGATATTCTGGAAAGGAGAGGGAAAATGTAGTAATCATTGTATGCTCATTATTTAGTAGAGTAACTCAAAATGCAACTTCATTGCTTTATTTAACAAATAACCATAGAATGAATGAGTGCCTCTCACTCAGTATTTAATGTTATACTGTGACTTCCAGGCGCTATTTGCTGCACAGTGGAAGTTCCTTTGCTGTACAAAGAAACTTTTCGAAGTTCCTTCAGCAAAAAGTTCCGTAAGCAAAGATCCTAGCTAAGTCTGTGCATACCTTGTACATCTTACAAGTGTCTCCCTCTGTTTGCGGTGTTATAGCACTGTCAAATCTTTGCTATGTCCCGTGATGCTTGAGCACATATTCAAAATCATCCAGATCTGAATGACCAAACCTCTTCCAATAAAGTAGAAAGTTCTTTTAACACCAGTAGTTTGTACACACACAACCAAAGCACAGAAGTGACTTGCCCAAAAGTTATTCAGCAACTCCCAAGATAAAAATCAGGGGTTTTGGACTTCAACATCAACAGGACTTTGCTGATCTCTTTACAGCAACAGATATTAGACCTTGAAATATGACTTTTGTCTATAAAGTATTTCCTTAATGTATTTTCAAGTATATGAAGCTACAGGGGTTATACACAGTCCTACTAAGCTGGGAACTAGACACCACTGCTTTCCAAAACAGTGACCTTTGTTTATTACATACCAAAACCCATATCAAACATTCTGTCAGCTTCATCAAACACAAGGTAAGTGACTCTTTGAAGGTTTGTAGCTTTCTTTTTCACATGATCAATTAAACGACCCTATTAAAAAAAAAAAAGCCAAGTTTTTAAAGCATATTTTAAAAATGTTAATATATGCAACCTTCAAGCACTTAACTGCTTTTTATCCTCACTTACCAGAAACTTAGAACAGAAAACATCTCAAGGCTTCACTCTAGAAGTAAGTGTCAATATTCAAGTCACAGAAACAGACTCCTGAAACTCTTATCAACTATACTTGACAAGCTGAATTTTAGGACTGGATTTTCAAGGTTAACAGTGCTGAGATCCTAAAATTCCCTAGTCTTCATTTAAATTAAATTTTAGTTGTGAACTGGCTATTTAATCCCATATTTGGCACAGGAGTTCTTCATGCTTTGTTTTCTTGCCTAGTACCCCAATAAATAGCCACAATAAAACTTCCTCCAACCATTAGTTGCTCAGTTTTGCCCAAGTTCGTAACTAGTTTTTGCAATAAGCAAAGTCAGTTGACAATG